TATTAATCTCAGCAACCACTGGATAAGCACGTACAATAGTGTCATTCATAGCTTTGAGATTCAAGGCTAATTAGGCCAGTTCAATGTTTTGAGTCTGCTTAAATACATTAGTGGGATTCTCCTAGCTGCTGCTGCCTGCCAGCACTTTCTGCTCAAATTGTCTCTGGATCTCTCTGGTATATGTAAATTTACACTGAACTTACGGCTGTAAGTTATAGCAGTATTATGCAGTCATTTGAGCATATGTACAGCTGATCTGAGGTCATCAACCTTGAGTGTATGTACAGCTGATCTTAGGCCATCAACCTCATTTACCTTGTAGGTAAACCGAAACCTTACACTTTTAAGAGGGCAAAAGACACAACTGAAAAGTCTGTAAAAAGCAGCATTATGGCCTCATTTTAAGTTGCTGAGTTTGGTTGCAATTTTTACTTCTATGTATTAAAAATGCAGCTAATTTTCTGAAAGTTAACTACTGGTAAAAAGTACTGTGAAAAACTATTTTATGAGCTGCCTTGAGATGTGTTATTAATGCTCTCAGGCAAATTTATTCTGTATTTGGATTGTACAGCCATAATTGATCTCTCTTTCTTAACTTGTTGGGCACTCAGGGGGAGAAGCTCATCTCCAGTGTCATCAAAGAAGATTATGTTTGAGAGCTTTGTTCGGTTAATTATCAGCACAGCTTTGCATTCATTTCCTTGCTACATGGTTTTACCTGAAGGGCTGATGTTTATTTCCTAATAAGCTAATACCAAAATATAATGGCAGCATGAAGAATACCCTGCAATAGCAAGCATGACTTCCCAAGGAGAAGCACTGACCAACATAAAGCCTTCTCCAGAAACAAGTACTGGTGCTGTGATAAGAGAACTGCTTGCCCCCCACACCCCATCTAGGCTCTGTTCTCACACAATGTTGCAGTGTACTGTGGTTCCCCTGTCATGGGGAAGGTAAATAGGTAGATTGCCATGGTTCTGTGTAAAGACTACAACTGCTGCTTATCACAGCCTACTCCTAAATACTCAGAGCTGCATTATGCCAGCATGACATATATTATTTATTAGCTAATATATTGTTGTTCTGACTCTCTTGCTGCTGCCAGCAGTGATGCTACTGACTACTCTTTATAGTCATCCGGAGAAGGAATAGGGCCGTACAGAAGCCAGACACCTAAGTCACAGCTGATCTGCCATTACGGCTAAATATAGATTTCCTGCATTAGAAACAAATAAATTAAAAACCCCACCAATTTTAGTGGCCTAAGACTTTTCCATTACTGTTTCCATATTGCTTATGCGGTCACCATAATCCATGAGCAGGTGCATTCAAAATAATACTCATTATTTACTGATGACACAGTTAACATCATATTTTCATGCTGGTGGAAAAAAAAAAGAAGTAGCTCCTTAGTTTAAAAATTACTCCGTTTGCTCCAGCCTTCCAGCCTTGGAAGAAGGAAATGCATTGAACAGTAAACAAGTGAAACTACAGGAGGACGCCAATGTGCGACTTGCACTGAAGTTTCTGCATGTGCTCTAACAAGCACCAGGCAGGAAAGACAAAAAGCAGAACAGCCTTTGCAGTCCTTCCAGCTTTAAAGGAGTAGTTTTAAGCTTAATAGATTTAAAATATCTTGGCTGATGCATATTATATCTAAGGCTTTTATGGTATTTAGTGATCTGGGAAGCTATACTGGGACTGCAGTTATACCTATAGCTAACCCAGATAAGAAACTTCCAAGCTCTATTCAATAAAAAAATTGAGTTGTTCAGTTTCTCGTTTCAATTTTTATATTTAATCACACAATTGAACATATATGCATTTTACTTAGATTGAATCTGATTATTAGGGCATGCAATATATCTAAAATGCCAGAATACTCAAAATAATGAAATTCTTTCCGAATCCTTCCCATATAGCCAGAGAATTATAGATAAACATAGGAACCTATGGGGTTGTACAAAAGTCTGTATTTACAATAAGAAAAAGATCTAAAAATCTAGTCTATAATGTCCCATGCTATTCATTTTCACAGTATCCCATAGAACACTGCTTCATGATTTTGAGATCTCTGCAATTAAAAATTGAAAATTTATTTTGATTTACAGTTAAAATTATCATTAGGAAGTAGATCCTCATTTCTACCTGCTAAAATGAGAACTAAAACAACATTTCTCAAAGATTTATTATAAAATCCAAGCAATGGAATTCCCAGTGGCACTACCTCAGCAGTAACTGTAAGAGAAAGACGCGACTTACTTATGAGAAATAAAAAATATTTTCTCTTAGGGTGTTCATATCCTGATAAGAGTAGAAACAGCACAACTCAACAAAGTAAACAACAGCCTGTTTTTATCATTCACCCAAGTTTATAGTGTTCATACAGCTATTAGGTAAAAACCTAATTTCTAAAAATGAAAAGAAGACTCCTATAGCAATACTATAAAAAAGGGAAAGAACTTTCAGAGGCAATTGCTATTTAACTCCCAAGAGCTGTGAGCATATAGTTGCTGGGTCAGAAGGTATTATGCAATAACACGATGAGTTAATAGAAATTACCTCTGAAAACATCCCAAAAAATCACTTTTAGAACGCATGTATGTCTACTCTGATGAAGCTGAAGTGCCTCGCAACTTTTAGCATTCCCTTTTCTGGCTCCCAGCTTTCCCTCCTGGTCTCGGCTTGTTCAGAGCAGCAGGTCTGTACTCTGGAAGAGCAGACACCTTTAGAGGGGTCTGCAGCAGTATCCCAAAGCACCACCACCGTTCCAGTCACTGTCCCCCCTCTCTGGAAACTTCACCTCCCATTCATTCACTCCTTTCCTCTAAACCATGCAAAGCTGAGACCAGAACAGCCCCTCCCTAGTGTGATGTTTATATAAGAACAACATACAGAGTAAAACACAGACTGAAACATCCTCAAGCAGGTAGCTTTAAATATAGTAGCGCCATGAAAACTATTTTACCTGTACATGTAGTGACATGAAGCTCAAGGAAGTCACATAAGATCAAGATTTTTTTCTAGAAGTCACAGTAGCAAGCTGTTTGGCAGAATCCCAAATGCTGGCAAGAAAGCTATTGTAAATCCCGACTCCTAGCTTTGCCTTGAATGGCAAGCCAGAATTTGCCAATTAACTTGTACTTACAAAAAAAAGGCTGAGCACGAATAAATAAATACATAGGATATGGTATCATTACAGCAACAGGACATTTCAGAATGCTGAAGCCAATGGAAATGCTCAGGCTGAAGCATACTGATCCAAACAGCACTTCTCCCTCATCTCGAGATGAAGATGTTTTTGTTTTTACTGTCTGCATATGTCTGAATGAGGACAACCTGCTGAGCAACAGTGACAGCGTCCAGCTGAGAAAGAAGGAGGCGAGAGGAATTTGAACGCTGTTGTGAGAGCTGCCTGTGGAAGCATCATTAAAATAAATAAAGAAAGAAAGAATACAAAACCCAAAATCACAACAAGGCAGCTGCAAGTCCGAAGAAGGCTGTGCGAAAAGATGATTTATCAGTTGTTTGAGTGGAAAAGACAGCAGCGTTAAGAACCAGCAACAAACTTTTCTTGTGTACTGCACCTCATCTCTCTGGTAAAGATTTCCAGAGCTCTCCTAGGACATCTTGGGTGATCCCAGAGCAGCCAGATCTCACAAGCAGCATGTACTCACTCACGCTGCTCCCCTCCAAGTTTCTAGTAAAACTCCCTGGGAAGGAGGACTGTACCCCAGGCTTGGTTGGACACTTAGTTCCTCAGACCTTGCCTAGCCTCTGAGGCTTGGTGCTAGCTCGGCACTAACTTGGATATGGCTCACCAGCTGAGCAAACTTGAACTCTTGAGTGTTTTTAAAGTAAAACCTCACCAGACAGGCTTTTCCCACTCCTAAACCTGCCCAGCCACACTGCTGTTCTTCCTTTTCTAAACCAATCCTGGCAGCTCCTCAGAGCTACAGGATGGGGTCACTGAAATCCTTTGCTTAGGTGTCCTTTCAATAGCAAGGTCTCGAAGAATGTGTATTTGTTAAGGAATGTTGCCTCCACCTGATGCTACTGATACTTTCCTTTTTACACAAACACGTAAAAAGAGACAATTTTGGCAGTGATGATAGAGGTGGTCTCATCTGCAACGAGTTAAAATGGCCAAGAAACCACAAATATACCACTTATTTGTATCTTAATCATTATGTAACTTGAATGAAGTCCAAGACCTGCTATAAATATGGAGAGTACGTACATAGCTTATAAACAAAGGTCTACCTTCAGCTGGGCAGTGAAATTCTGATAGAAGAAACACTGGCTGGCTTGTGGAAACCACACAGCTAACATGCTTTTTTATAAAGAGCTTTGGATTTTAAATCTAGGGGACTGACAGAACGCTACATATCTACAGGAAACATATATGCAAGTATATTTCAGACTAGCACAATGCTACAGTTTTTCCTTTTTGACAGGGGATTTTTCAGTCCCCGCGTAGATGGTGTAATTCAAATGACAACTATCTACCGAGAATGCTGAGGGTTTCTATCATCAGGTTCCCACAAGCGCTATTAGAGCATCGGAAACAAATGACGAGCCTTTATCTTTAAAGCTCACCCACGGCAGGAGGTAGAATACTACGAAATGTCATTTCCCCCCCCCCCGCCTTCAGCAGCTCTGAAGGAACGAAAATACAAGCCGCGGTTTCCAGAGCACTCCAACGTTAGGGCTGCGTTGCTCTCCCTCCAACTGATCCCGCTACCCCGTGTGGGTCCGGCCCCTCCCGGGGGGCTCTCCCCGCTTCGCCGGGGGCGCGCAGCGCGGCGGGGGCGCGCCCGGGGCTCCCGGGGCTCCCCGAGGGAGAGTCGCGCTCCCGGCCCGCCGGGGCCAGCCGGCAGCTTTCGCCTCCCTCGCAACTCCCATCACGGGGAGAGGCGAGGATGACTCGGTCTCTCAAGAATATACACAAATAGAACCCGAAGGCAGCCGCCGGTGGAAGAGAGGTGCCCGTCTCTTACCTTGCTCTGCGGGCGGCCGGGGCACCGCCGGGGGCTGGAGGAGGGATTCCCCGGCGCTGGCAGGGGCTGCGCGGGCTTCCCCGAGCACAGCGCGGCCGCCAAAGCCACGGCGAGAGGTTTGTTTTGGTCGCTCCTTACCGGGGAGGATTTTGTTCTACATTCCCGGCTCCACATCACCGCCCCCCCCAGCACGGAAAGGACCGGGGGTGGAAACACCACGGCAAAGGCATCTCCCTCCTACCCCCGGAGATGGAAAGCCGCCGAGCAAGCAGCGCGGCGAGCGGCTGGGGTGGCGGGCGGAGAGGGGGGGGGGGGGGGACCGCGGGAGGAGAGGGGGAGATAAAAGCCGACCCCGCGGTGCCCTCGCCCCACTGTAATCCCCGGCTGCATGCGAGCTGCCGGCTGCCGCCGCGGCCGCCCGTGTCTGCGGCTGTGCGCGGCGGCGGGGCGGCGGGGGGGGGGGCACGGCCGCTCCCGGACGGGGCACGCGGGGCTTCCCCCGCACCCCCTCCGCGCCCCCCGCGCCGCCCTCCGCCCGGCTGCGAGCACACCCTAACACCGCGCCCGCTGCTCCCTCACTGGCCGGGCGGGGGGTGCGCACACACATGTGCAGGCAACACAGACTCTGTACAAATGCTACAGTCAAGGGATACGCACACTCATGCACATGCATGCATACACACGTACACAGCTAACCAACCCCGGTGCGGGATGTGCGCGCACACATACACACATGCACAAACACACAACCCACGCTACCCTCCCTCAGACAGGGGATCCCCCTCTCAGGCAAGGGTTCACCCACATTAACACTCCCAAATGGAATGAGCACACCCCTTGAGACCTCCACACACACCTCCTTCACAGACAGGGAATGTATACACACACACTTCCATATATTACCTTCCTCCAACACACATAACCTCCTCACACCACCTTGTCCTGTCCGTGGTACACACACTGCACCATCCCTCCCGTCTTGTCTTTTCCCCTTCCCCAGCCCAGGCAGGGCATGGCACACAACACACAACTCATGACACAGGGGTGTTCCCCAACTCCAGCTGACAACCTGACAGCCGCAGCCCAGCCTTGCTGTTGGCAAGCAGGGGGCTTGCCGAGGGCAGAATCCCCCGGCAGAGGAGCAGTGCCCGGGGGTGAGTCAGGACCCTTCACAGGATGGGTACTCACACAGTTCTGTCATCAAGTCTTGATGGGGTAGCAGACTGCTATCAAGGCTTCAGCTACCCCTGCTGCCTCTTCCTCCCTCCCATAAGGTTTAATAGTTCTTCTTTATTGCTTTTTAATGGGAAGTCCTTCATCATTCCCAATATTGGAAGGAAGACTCTCCCTCATTCAGTGATGCCCCTCTATATTTTAGGTATCAGATTAGAAATCTGTTCTCCTTTTCAAGCTCTCTTCTCTTTCTTATGTTTCATAACAATTCCTCTGTAGCTTTGCCCTCTCTGCATTGTGTTACTTAGGCTTCATCTCATCCTACAGCTCTGAGATTCTGCCTTCAGTGTTGCACATTTCACTGCTGGGATGAAGGCTTTCAAACACAGTGTTTATCAGCTTCCTTTTTTTTTTAATTCAAAGACCTCCTAATTCTTTTGAAAGCCATCCAAGAAACAGATTGGGCAGCATTGCCACCATGATATCAATTGCAACCAACTGAAAATTAGGCTAAACTTTGAATGCTCATTTACTGTATTAATTTCTCCCCATTTTATGTATTTCCTTGCCCACTGGCTTGGAAACGGATAGATTCTGTGATTTTTAAAAGATGACCTTCTTCTCCTGGCCCTCCTTCTGAAGTTTTCTAAATGGGTACCACAGTAGTGAAAGTCCTAAGTGATGCTGATCTTAAGGTTAGTTTTCCATGGAAAACTCTGGGAGAATGCACTTTGTCTGAAACCTGGACATCTGTGACATAAACATCCATGCCTGTGATACGCAGCCTACTCTACCCTTATGGTCAGTCAGGGAAATTCTCTTCCTTATGTTATGTATGATTAAGCTCCATAGCAACCCGTCCCTCTCCTCAGATACTCCCCAGCTGAAATATAGGTATTTATGTGTTCCATACCTTCCCTCACTTCTGTGCTTATGTGTCTGTGTGTCTCATTACTAATTTTTGAACCCAATGATCAGTTTCAGCTGAATGCAAGAGGTGGCCAACACTCCTAAAGACAAATTCCTACAAATTTAAGAAAATGAAAGCAGTTGAGTGAAGAGGCTTGCTAGGCATCCCTTTGTGCACAGAGCATGGCAGCAGTGGCATGAGGAGTTCATGTGCTGTTACGTACCTCAAAATCTGCATGTATATGTCACATCAGTGAGAACAGTTCAGCTGGAGTTTGTCTTTTCTCAGTCATTGCAGCCAGTAAAGCCCATGAGATACAGCTGTAGGAAATCAGAGTTCATTCATGTGGATGCTCATGAAATAGTAGGTTCTGAGGAGCTCCAGTGCTCCTCTACTGCTTTCCATGATACATGTCTGTTTCTATAAAACACATGGAAGTGTTTTATAGAAACAGACTATGTTTTTGTGAGATTTTAATATTTGATTTTTCAGTATTTTGATAAAGGGAGACTCTCTTATTTCTGTGTCAGGCACGCACACTAATAGAACTTGCTTGTCAGAAGGAGCAGTCAATTGGCAAGTTCCTGCAGTTCTCCATCTATGCCGGTGTGCATGCTGTGTAGACACTGCTCCAGAATAAGCAATTGATCTGCTTCAAACAGGAGGAATTATTCTGAAATAAAATTTTCTTTATTGAGCTAGTGAGTCCAGAGTAAAAATAACTTTATTCTGGGAAAGAATTTTGCACAGAGGCACATTATCACATTACCTAGATACATGTTTACGTCATTGGATCTACATTATTCAATTTTCCACCACAAACAAATGCTAACTGTTCTTGGCTCACTCCTTTTCTAAGTTTGGGGCTTTTCTGTTCACAAAAACTCATCTTCTGTTCTTACACCAGTGTGTTTGAAAGTTGAAGGGAAGCCTTTCTGGTTCCTCTATTTACCAGAAAAAAATTGGCAAAATGTGTGGGCATGCTGCCAGTGTCTGGCAGACCATGTGGGAAAGATTTCCTTCAGAGGAGTTTTGCTTCGCTTGGTTAGATAAGGGGAAGAAATAAATACCTTGAATAAAAGAGAAATCTCTTTCCTACCAAACTTTTTGTTGCAGGATTATTTTCCCTCATTACAGTGGTGTTCTTCAGAGCACCTTTTATCAAGACCAGCCTCATAAACTTGATAGACCTGTTCCTTCTCACTTCATGCTTGGTTTTTGTAGACAAGCCCACTAGGTTTCTGTGAGGCAGTGCTTCCCAAATGCCTTCCTGACGTGAGAGGAGAGGACAAACAGAGGAAGGCAGGGATGGAGGAAGATGGGCAAGCATTTGGAAAGGTATAGTTATATGATATGCAGCAGGAGGATCATTCAAGATCATAAGCTAACTGTTGCAAGAAATAATTGTGCTCTCCACTACTGACCGTCTTGGCCACAGCAGTGAATTCATGTGACCCACACATTCTCTTCTTTTTGAAGAAGATTTGTGTTTGTCAGGGCCCTGAAGATACTACCAGGGCTTCTGCCCTTGCCCAGCTTCCCCTGGGGGCTCCCCCAAACCCTGCTCGTGACCAAGGACCCTATTTCAGCTCAACCCATTTTTTTCAGTCCCTATCCCACCAACACTTGATAACACTTCTCTGTGAAGAAGGGAATGATCCTCTTACAGGCTGGCTTAATGGCTATTCCTGAGTTGTAGGAATAGATATTACAATAAGTAGCAGCAACAGGTGGACTGCTGTCATCAGCATCGAAGTTGACTTGTTTGTCTAAATAAATCATTGATATTTTCCTGAGTGTAAACATCTTAGTTACTGCAAAGCCAAAATGTAATGTCAGGTGGTCTGGAAGTGTATCCCAGTTTCCCACTGATGAGTCCAACAAAAGGCAAAAAAAAGAAAGTTCTGCTCTAGAAAAGCAAACCCCACCCACTGCCCTTTCTGTCACCCAAGACCATTTGATAAAAAAACAAGTCAAACAAAGGCAGTTTCTTTGCCAAGTCTAATATTGTCTTAAAATAAATCACACTGGAAATAGCATCTGGCAATAGCATAGCCCACCACAGTTCAAACCAAGTCTGGTGTGCATTAGGAACTCCCTGAGTCATGGAATAGCTTTTGATGCTTCTTAATGAGAAGTTTGGGTTTGTTTTGTGTTTGGTTGTTTGGTTTGTTGGTGGGTTTTTTTCCCCTCTTTTTCAGGTTTTAATTTTCTTTTATTAGATTTCTCCAGCTCAGAATAACTGCAGCATACTTTCTCCAGGTCTTGGGTTCTAGAGGGACTCCTGGAAGGGTCTTCAGCTCTTCCACAGAATGCAGTGGGACAGCAGTCTCACTGGTGTTTAAAGGCTATCTTGTAGACACATCTAGGGGCTGGGTATCACAAAACCAGCAATGGAGGTGAGCAAGAACACAGCCAGGAAAGACAGGTTATAGGCAAGATACCATTGTGAGTTTTGCAGGGTTGGTTTTGTTTGTTTGTTTGTTTTTTGGCTGCTTATAAAAATTGATTCATTGTTCCTTTCTTCTCTGGGTGAAAGTTTACTATTTATTATTATTATTATTATGGACAAATCTACACAAGAAAATAGTAATCGCTGTCAGGGCTGAAATCAATTGTAGACACAACAAAACACAAACAGAAAACAAACTTGAGCTGAACAAAGGCATATCAATATGGTTACAGTTGAATCAGAGTTCTAAAAACCTGACCTATTTCAAATTTGGGCATCTCCTCATATGGAGGAGTTAAACAGATAAAATTTACTGTTTGAGTTTTGTGTCAAGCAGACAGAAGGCCTGCTGAGCGGCTCCTGGCGCTTCAGCCTGCAACACTGGGATATGGGGCTCTCCTTAGTGTAATAAGATGGTGATGATTTCCACGAACACAGCATTTTTTTAACCTCCTGTAATGGGTTACTTTAGCTTATGTTTTGATAAAAAAATAAATAAAATGATAGTTTGTAATGTAATCTTCATAGACTTTTTTTAAACATGAGCTGAATGTTAATCCTCTCTGTCAATTAAAATGTTATCTGGTGTTATTCACAGACCTTTAAACTGGGATCTCTTATTTTGGACCCACGCCAGATCACAACTTGAGAAATGATTCAGCTTTACTCATTAGCTCCAGGTAGGTTATGCCCGGTTATGGCCCAGGTTTAAACTTGCTCAACTATTGCTTTCTAGAAGTTGCAGTAGCTTGGTCCAAGTTTATGACAAAAGGGCAGTCAAATGAAACCTAATCTTGTCACTCTAAAGACCTGATTATTTCCTGATTATATTATATAGGGAGAGCCAGGGGATGCTTATACAAAAGGTATACTTAGCATGAGGCTTGTCTAGCTTTGAACTCTGCAAGCTTTGCAGTGCCAAAATGTTTTTCCCTAAATACCATCTCTGA